TAAAATAATTTATTCCACGTAGTTAATGTCACTTTTAATTAACCCATTTTAATGACGCTAGTTTGTAATTCAATCCTTAATTTAGCATATTATGAACTGTTAAATAACGCGTTGGGCAAGTATATTTCTATATGCAGAGGTATTGTGAATATATAATATACATAAAAGTAAAATGTTCCCGCTATATTCTCTTCCTGAAACGAAGGCTCGATTTTTTAATTTTTATTTAGTTTTTCAATTTAATTTTTTAGTTTTTATTTTTTTAAATTTTTATTTTTTTATTTCGTTTTTTAATTTTTCAGTATATTTATTTGTTTGACAACCTAAACGGTTTGACGTTTTGAAAAAGAAACTTGTTTTAATTTGCAAAAATTGTCGCTGCCTTGACAGCAACTTTAGCGTAATCGTATTCAAGTCCAGGCTAATTTAAATACTATACATATAGTATTCTTATATATTATAACGTCTGCTTGTTTAAAGTGTCAACATTCGAATAGATAGGGAAAAAAAATTAATTTTATTTCAACACCAAAAAAATATGATTAAATTTAAAAAAAAATGATTAAGTATGCAACACAAAAAGTAGACAGAGAGAGAGAGAGAGAGAAATAATTTCAAAATAGCCGACAAAAGAAATTTTAAATTAAACACTGCTAAAAAAATTCAATTGAAAAAAAAAATTAACAAAATTAAAGCCAAAAAAATTCAAATTTTCAAATAGATTTTAACTATAGATTTTTGTAATAGGGTCTTGATTAGGGTTTGGCCAGTTTTTGCAGTTTAGAAAAATATAAAGTAAATTTTTAAAATTATACCTTAAGGCCAGGTCCAAGTGAGGCAGCGCCATCTACATTGATACTAAAATTATGGAAAATTTTCAACAGCCTTTTCTTGAAAACAAGATGGTAAAATGCTTTTTCCTTTATGGATAATTGATTATTGGCAAGATATACACCAGCTAAAACTTTTTTTGAGTTAAAATAATAAAAAAAATTTCATGTCAATAAATTAAATATGAGCATTTTTTTCACAAAAACTGTAACAGTACTTTCTCAGAAATTACAATCAAAAATGCAATTTCCATTTGGAAAATTAATAAACGCTAAAAAATACACGACCTAAGATTTACCAATCACGAAAATAACAAAAAAAAAGTATTTTAACATAACATATTTTACTCATTATGACAGCCGTTTGGCAGGTTATATATGTCACCAGACGTTTCGCAGTTTTGCCGAAAGAAGGAGATTGGCGCTGTTGCTAACCACCTGAAATACATAATCTACCAAAGGGCTGTCACAATCAGTAAAGCACTATCAATATGTTAAATATTTAATAAAATTTTTTTTTGTTATTTTCGTGATTGGTAAATCTTAAGTCGTGTATTTTTTAGCGTTTATTAATTTTCCAAATGGAAATTGCATTTTTGATTGTAATTTCTGAGAAAGTACTGTTACAGTTTTTGTGAAAAAAGTGCTCACATTTAATTTATTGACATGAAATTTTTTTTATTATTTTAACTCAAAAAAAGTTTTAGCTATGTATATCTTGCCAATAATTAATTATCTATAAAGAAAAAAGCATTTTACCATCTTGTTTTCAAGAAAAGGCTGTTGAAAATTTTCTAAAATTTTAGTATCAATGTAGATGGCGCTGCTTCACTTGGACCTGGCAGAGGGCATTTACTATATGTTTTGATGTAGGGCTCAGATTAGGTTTTGGCTAGTTTGGAAAAAAATTTAAATAAATTAATACATTTTTCTAATTACAAAAACACATAGAAGAGGATATTTACTATATTGCCCTGGTCAGGTTTACGCCAGTATTTCTAATTTTGAAAAAAATAACAATATACTAAATTTTTAAAAATTAACATAACCCTATAAAGAGTACGCATTCACTAGATTTGAAATAGGGTTCTGGTTATATTTTAGCCAGTTTTCCTACTTTGAAACAAATTTAAGCCCGTACATTGTAATTAAATAAATAAATAAATGTAAATAAATTGCAATTTTTAAAATTACTGAAATCCTAAAGAAGAAAATAGGGTTGAAATAGGAGCTCTGGTTAGGTTTTAGGCAGTTTTCATTGTTTGGGAAAAAAAGTAAATTAATCAACATTTTTATAATTACCACAACACCAAAAGAGGGCATGGTTTTAGATTTGAAATAGGGCTCTAATAAGTTTTTGGCCAGTTTTTCTATTTTGAAAGAAATGTATGCTACTTTTCTTAATTAAATGACTATTATTTATTTAAATGACAATAAAATAAAATTAGGTTGTACAGTCCTTGAAAATTTATTTCTTTTTTTGTTCATTAACTGCTATCTAATATTATTGTTATATTCACAATGAAATCATTGCAAAGGACATTCGCGTTTGTAAAAGTCATATATATAATATATTTAAGGTCGTTCTTTGACTCAAGGACATCATCGAACACCGACCTAGGAAAGTATCTTACATGTAATACACCCAAGTAACTTGTTTTTTTTTTTTTTTTTTTTTTTTTAACAAATATTATACACATCGTTGTCTGCAGTCAATTTTCCGATAAAAGATTTAATTCTGGTCTGTAAGGTAATAAAATGCACTTGACTGTATGCATATTATACTTTCCACTTCACGTGAAACGTTGCCGTAAATCTTTATACATAAATCAAGTTATCGTTGATTTGCATGAAAGCGAAAAATTGTTTGTTAATTTGTTCAATTATTATTTAACGAAAAAAATTATATTTTCTATTTTATTTTTTTATATTATGAATATTACTCCAATTTTTTTTTTAAGTAAAGTAATCATTGGTACTCTGTATTTACATATACACTTAGAGAAATGATATATTTGTCTCACAGCCTAATAAATATTTATTTGATTCAAATAAATTATTACTTTGATTTAAATAAATTATTACTTTGATTTAAATCAATTTTTATTTTATTCAAAGAAATTTTTATTTGATTTAAGAAAAAAAAATTATTTACGCCAAATAAATATAAGCTATAGTAGGCTGCGAGACAAATATATGTTTATTTAACTCAAAAATATTATATTTGTTTCAAATAAAACATTTCTCTGGGTGTACATTCATCAAATGCATATTATTTAAAAGAATATATTTTGTTTTTGGTAGGGCTTTTATTATTATTATTTGCTATTTATAAAATTCAATTGTTTTTCTAATAACGTATTTTATAGTATATATTATTATTATTATTAAAGACATATATATATATATATAATTATTATATTTTCTACATTCCTGCACGTGATAGTTGATAATAAAAAAAAAATATTAATCTATAAAAAAAAATCCAAATCAATAGTAAAAATTTTTCTCGATAAAAAATCATATACGCATTGTAAAATTTTTTTCAAGATAAAATTTTTTTATTAAAATTAAAAATATATTTCTTTTTTGCGAAAAAAAAATTAAAAAAATTTTTTTTTTTAATTGGGAATAATAATAATAATAATTTATATATATTTTTTTATGATCATTATACAATTTGTCAAATAAATAACAATGATTGTCTATAATGAAAAATCAATTATATTGCTTTAGACTTGATAAATTTTATCTTGACATTAATGAGTTAAAAAAATATATATATTATAAGTGGAATATAATTGAAAATTTTAGTTCATTAAATATATTTTCCGGTATTGAATGAAGGGGAAGCAAAAAAAGGCATAATTTGCGAGTCAAATGTTTTTTTGCAAGTGGAGCAGAACTCACGATCTACTCCATCAGAGAGAACTGAGGAAAAAGTTGGCCTGTTACGCGCGCGAGAGACTTTTTCCATATTCTCGATGTCATAAAACTGTATAGCTTTACAAATTTTCGCATGAACACTATATATATATATATATATATATATATATATATATATATATATATTGCGAGATGCACAAAAATTTGCTGATCCAACTAACGTGTCATCTTTCATTTAATGAATGAAATTAATTTAAAAAAAAATGATTACTCATTTTCTCAAATTAATATGTGTCATTGTCACAGGTTACACATTTCTATTAATTATTTTAAGCAAAATTTATAATTTGTGATAAAAAAATTTTATTTCGCTAAAAAAATTTTTGTTTGTTTTAAATAAACATTTATTTGTGTTAGTGAAACAAATTTTATTTATTTTTTTTTTCACAAAACAATTTTATAATATTGGAACTTAAATAAATATTTATTTGTTTTAAATAAAAAATTAAGATTGGAAGAAATAAAATTTTATTTTCCGCAAATAAACATTATTTTATTTATTTTTTGAAAAAGATGAAATTGTATTTGTAATAAATAAAAATATTATTTATTTGAAAAACTAATTTATTTAAAGAAAAAAAAAAAATATTTGAACTGAAACAAAAATTTATTTAATTTATTTAAATCGTCTTAAAAATTTCTTTAAAAAAAAAAAAAAAACAAATTTATCTTTAAACTCAAAAAAAAATTATCTGAACGAAAACCAAAAATTTATTTGAAAAACAAATTTATTTTAACAAAAAAAAAAAAGTAATTATTGATGCAGAAACAGAAATTTATTTGAAAAACGATTTTTTGTAACGAAAACAAAAAATATTTATTAAAAAAAAATTTATTTAAACCAAATATAAAAATTTTATTTGAAAAACAATAATTTATTTAAATCAAATAAAAATTTACTTATTTAAATTTACTTAAACCAAATAAAAAAATGTATTTCAATTAAATAAAAAATTTTATTTGAAAAAGAAATTTAGTTTAACCAAAAAAAAAAAAATAATTTTAATAAACAATTTTTTATTTAAACCAAAATAAAAAATTTATTGGAAAAAAAAATTATTTGAATAAAAATAAGAAATTTATTTGAAATCTAAATAAAAAATAAAAAAATCTAATATTTTTGATAAAACTAAAAAATAATTATAAATTTCAAAATATATTTTTCATGCTTTTTTTAAAAAATGTATTTTGTAAAAAAAAATTTTTTAATTCTGTAAATTTTACCTGCTATTAAGAATTAGGTCCTAAGTCATGATAATTATGTATCAAATCACCAAATACCGGTCAATATTTTTTTATAACACACGCACACACACACACACATACACAGTGAAGAAAATTTTAAAAAATTTTAAATTTAAATAATCATTCTGAGAATATTATAAATTAATAATTATTCATGCGTGTGATTTGTATAAAAAACAAAACAAAAAATTATCATCACAAAAAATAATTATAATGATAATAATAGAAGAACTAAAAACACTCGCATATTTAAATGCGGATTCGCGCGCGATTTTTTTTTTTTTTGAAAAACACGCGCGATCCTAATTTTCCTTCGATCGAAGCGTCGTTGCGACGCTTGCAACGAATGCGTCGTTTTTGTATATGTATATATATATATGTAGCGAGAAGAGAGACCGGCTGCGACTGCAAAGGCAAATCTGAATCGAATAGCCGTGAGCCACTCGTGAATGTCGTTTGGTTATAGCATGCAACAAACCAACAACGAATCACTGCCTTCCATCGTTCAGCGGAGAACTTTTCTCGTTTGTCTTGTCTTATTATATATACATATATATATATATATATATATACATTTGTATGGGGAGTTGCTTTGCACGCACGTGTGCGTGATACTCGCTTCCCAATGGACCAACTTTGGCCATGACTTTTTTTTTAAATCCCAAAAATTCAATATTATATTTTATATTTCATTTCATTAAAATGAATTTAATTTAATTTCATAGAATTAGGCTTAAAAAATAAAGTAATAAGCATTTTTCCCCTCTACTGATTTTGAAATTTATTTAAATATAATAAAATAATTTTATTTGTTATTATTATTTTTTAATCGAAAAAAATATTTATGACAAATAATATGATAAAAAAAATTTATAATAAAAATTATACACACGAATTGTTATCAATTTTAAAACTAAACAGTCCCATGTGAGCAGAAATACAGAAAGCAAAAGACAAAACCATGTATGTGAGAAGGATAATGATATATGCCTATGTCTTTTGCTCTCATAATTTTCTGTTTTGTGTTCTGCTTTTCTACTTTCATGGAAATGCTCCCTAATTTATTATTAAAATGGTGCTTCTACAATAACTTGCAATTTCACTTAGTGACTTTATTGTTATAATTAAAAGTTACTAAATTTTCATTAGATTCGGGTGCGGTAGTTGACGAGAATTTTCACTAATTAAATTAATTAATGAATTACTAATTTAATTTTAATAATTAGTACCGATACTGCATATGTTATTAATTACTAAGTAATTAGTAATTTTACTAAATAAATGTTGTCATTCTGGTTTGACCATATTTTAAAAAGTCGTGACATTTCTATAATAATTTTATTAGTTCGTGGCATATGGTTTATAATATAAATTGGTTACAGCATACACCATAAACTAATAAAATTATTATAGAATATTATCACAACTTTTCAAAATGTCGTCAAACCGGAAGGACAGCATTTATGCAATTGAGTGTACGTTAATTTTTGACAACTGAAAACTATTGCGCACGCAAGAAAGTCACATAACCTCTGGTCACATGCAAAACAAAACGTGTCATTGTTTCGGTAAATCATTTTCTTTTTTTTTTATAATTTAAATACACTTGTATATAGAAATAAATAAATAAAATGCAAAGCAAGTGCAGAACAAGTACACTCGTGGACAGATTAATACTTTTTTGTCCTTTTCTAACCCACGTGTTGCCATGACAACATGTGAGTTAGAAAAGGATAAAAAAAGTGTAGGAATATCTGTCAAGATTGCAAGTTATTGTAGAAGCACCTTTACAAATTATAACTTTCCACAGGGTGATGAAATTCAAAAGTTCTACACATTTCGGACGTTCACTCTTATAATTTGACAATCCATCCCTGTGTGCAACATTTGTGTTTCATTACCTTGGACAAAATGGCCAAGTAAATATAATCATATGTGTATAATTTTAATCATATATTAAAATTTTTAATTATTAATATTAGTTTAACAAGAGCATTGATTTTTTCTGTAATTCACTCACAACTTTCATTAAAAACTTGCGTATCTTAATTTTCAATGATTATAATAACAATGCAGCCAATTAATATACAATAAACATAATGTATCTTTATAGTACTCTGTACGAATGGGCTTTGTCCGTATATTTTCAATAAATAAATAAATAAATATTAAATATTATAATAATCAAATACAACAAAAAATAATCAAAATTAATTTAGATAAATAAAAATTTACTATAATATAAAAATTAAAAGTAATAAAATTTGCGTATAATAATTATTAAATATTATAAAAGAAATTTAATCATCGACAAATAAATAGAACAAAAATTTCAAAATATTGTTAATTCAATATAAATTCATAAAAAAAAAATTAATTATAGAAAGATATCGAAAAATAATACTCAATCCATTCAGTATTTTACGAGAAAAGTTACGGACAAAACATTACAGATCTAATTGTCACATAACCTTTTTCTTCAAAAATATTATTAATAAACATTTAAAAAATTTAAACTTCTACAATAATTTTAGCATTCAGTAAAGTAAAAATTATTAATTATTATTTATCTAGTAAAATATACTTAAATACTTTTTTCTTCAATTCATAATTAAAACAAATCAAAATTATTATAAAATACAATAAAAAAAAATTATAAAATATGAAATTCTGTAATATGATAATTCTTGCTTATAAAATTTGGGACAAAAGAGGGTGCAAGTCTTAATTTTTTACAAATTAAAACAAATATTGTCCCAATTTATTAAAATTTATAGAAATCTTGTGTTTTTTCAGCATCAATAGAGTTAATTAAGACGAGAAAAATTGTATGTAAATTTTAATGAAATAAATGTAATTTTAGATTTGGTATAAAAAAATTTTTTTTGTTTTAAATAATTAATTTATGATTTTGTTTAAAAATAACAAATTTTTTCCATAATGCAATAAGTCTAAAAAATTTATTACTTAAAAAACAAATTTTCAATTTATAAAATCCTTTGAAAGAGAAACAAAAACCTTGACATCTTATGTCATAATATAATATATGTAAAGATATCTTGCAGAATGAACGAAACGAATAAAGTTATCTAAGAATTTAAAAAAAGAGGAAGTTGACAAAAGAAGATAGATATTTTTGATATTTTAATGATAAATTTTGACTCTTTGACCCGAGAAAAATGTATCAGTTATTTAAATTGAAATATTAATATTATTATTATTATTATTATTATTATTATTATTATTATAGATAACAAAGAAAATATTTTTCCAAATCAGACAATATTGTATATAGATAAAAATGGTTTTATCAATATAATAAATACTTCCTATTTTCATATAAATTTTTATAACGCTTTAAAAAATTCAATTTTTATTTAAAAAAAAATAAAATTAAATAAGTTTACAAATTTTTTTTTTAATTAATTAATTAAAATCACTCAATTGTTAATAAAAGTTTAAAAAATTTTAAAAAACATTTTTCTTTAAAAATTAAAAATTATCAAGAGTAGAAAAAATGTAAACATATAAACAAGATGTTTATTTCAAGTAAAAATAAAATTTATTTCATATAAAAACAGTTATTGTTTAATATTTTAAAAAAAATGTATTCTACATTTACTTTGTTACTACTAATAAATTTAATTTAATTACATTTAATAAATTACAAATAAATTTTTTCTTGTAATAAAAAGTTTTTAGTGAAAAAATAGAAATTTTGAATTTTTTATTTTAATTTATTATATATGTAAATTATATATTTCTGTAAATAATAATTTAATTAAAATTTATAATTTGTTGATAAAAACAATGAAATAATATTGAATTAATTATTTACGAGTTGAAAGAAATTTTATTTAAATTTTCTTATATATTATTTCTTGCGGAAAACAAGTTGAAGTATAAGTCCTTAAAAGTGTAATTACTGAACCGGAAAGGTAATTGCTTAATTTTCAAACTTTTATCTTTATATATATAGTATATATTGGTTTTTTTTTGTTACCAATTGCACATTATAAATGATTTATTAATAAGGAAATTAAATTTTTAAATGCGATTTCAAATGACTAGTAAACAAAATGTGATTAGATAAATTTTATATTTTTAATTAATAAATACTTTTTGTTTAATTAGACCATGTAGTGGAATAATAAAATTAAAAAATAATATAATATCATTTTCAATTAGATATTATAATGATAAAAATAAAAAATATGTATTTAAAAACTTAGAAAAATTAAAAAAAAAAAAAAATATATAAAAAAAATTTTTTTGCCTTTTTATTTTAAATAAAATAAAGTCAACATATACATACATATATATATATATATATAAAGTAAAACCAATTCAGAATCTTTGTCAGAATATGGAGAACACTTTCAATTCTTGGGTCAGGGCCAACTAAACGTATCTATTCGCTTTTTGTTGAAAGAAAAAAAAGTTTATTGCCCTTTTTTCTACATTTATATTTGCAGATCTATTGTGTATAATTTCGAAAAAGAGAAAGAAAGTAGATTCTTGCAATTTATTACAAATTATAACAAATATAATTTTTTTTCTTATAAAAATTTTCTTTCTTAATTTTATAGTAAAAGAAAATTTTTTTTGAATTAAAAATAAAGTGAAAGTAGGATTTTGAATTATGTTTGTTATATAAAACAACAATGTGGGGGTTTTTTTTATATAAATTTAGTTATAAAGAGAGAAAAAAAAAATAAAATTTTTATATTTTTTCAATAGTTTTTTTTTTGTACGCGTCTTATTTATATTCCTGACAAGGTTCATAGTTGATTATAATAAATTTTAACTGTATCCTTGTGCTTAGTACGAGGGCTGATTTTTAATTTTATTTTCAAATTCTGACTGATATTGAAAATATATACCATAAATTACTACTTTTGTCCTTTGCATAAAGAGTTTAGTTAAAAATTATATAATATTTTTTATCCTAATGTATTCCGTCTATTTATTAAAATTAATTAGTAATTAAAAAAAATTAAATTACAATTAACTTAAAAATTATAGGTATATTTATATACTAATCCAGGATTTAGTTTTTGCTATTGGAACGTTAAATATAATTTAAATTAATTACTAAAATATTTAATTGTTTCAAAAATTATAAATTTTTCGCTTTCAAATACACAGGAAGGAAGTGACAATAATTAAAAAAATTAATTTTAATTATAATCTTCTAATAGTGGCGCCAGCTCTTGGTAGTTGTCGGTGATAGCAAGTTAAATGAAATCTCTACCTAACCTACAGATTACTATTACTTTTTTAAATTCTACATAAATATGTCCTTTTGTATAGAAAAATATAACTTTTATGAAAAAAGTAGATTAAAAAAAATATATAAATTAAATTTTTGAGATAATCAGAAATTCTTTGGACCAATAGAATTTCTCTATATTTATTTTTTAATTTATTTATTTTATTAAATATATA